AATTTTTCCATGGGCTGCACTCTGCTCAAGGTTTCAGTTTGCCTTAGAGTTGTACATTTGTCCTTGTCCTCTCTGGCAGCCTTCCTGCAAAGTGGCTCAGAAAATGGTACCAGGGTGAGGGTGCAAATCAGAGCCTCACGGAAAGTCTGGGGGAAGAAAGGGTCTGATGGCTCCCAAGCAGATTTCTAAATGAAAAATTGTGTCTTGTACTTTGCTGTTCAGGAAGAGGGGGAGAAAAAGCCGTGTCTGGATTGGAATATTTTCAGCATTTGAAATGGCAGGTGAATTTTAAACAGAGCCCAGCTGGAATAGAGCCAGCCTGGGAAGCACAGTGTGGCAGTTTTCTCTTCCCTTTCCATTACGGTCCAGGCAGAAACAACAGCAGGTGGAGAAAGTATTTTTAGTCAGATTTTCCCTAATTCCTTGAGGCATTAAAGCATCTGTACTTTGCAAAGACAACGCAAATCCACTTTTTCATGCCCATGGGTGTTTTAAAAACCGAATTTTCTGACGATGTGGGAGAGCAGCAGCTTTCACACAGCTCCCCCTGGGAATTCCTTTTCCCGCAGTGATGGGTGCGGGATCCCGGGGTCCGGCAGGAGGATTTGGGGAGGATTTCAGGGAGCGGGCAGGGCTCGGGCTCCGGCAGCAGAGGAGCCGCCGCTCCCATTCCCAGGCGCTTTTTGGGAAATGATGGCTGCGGGATGAATCAGTGACCCGGCCAAGCCCGGGGCAGTGTTCAGCACTGTATGCAGCGGGTTTTCCGCGGAGGAGGCTGCAGGATGCCCGGTGACTGCGCGGTGATGGGGCCGGTGATGCTCCCTTTGCGTGGGAGCCGCAATCCGGGAGCTGCCGCTGCCCGGGCTCTGATTCACTGCCCGGGCCCCCAGCTGGGAGCCGCGGAGCAGAAAATGTCACATCTTCCCACGGCAGAGCTGCTCGGGCCGTGCATTCATTCGAGGCGCGGCTCACCGGGAAATAAGGGGCTTTTTCAGGGTCGTGTGTTAAGATTCTGGTCACGCCCAGCTTTTGGTTTTTAGCAAAGATAAATGGTAACTGTGCCATCTCCTGTTGCCTGCAATATTTCAGAGTCTTTTCTTCTCATAAATAGCCTTGGCTTGATACTGGAGCATCGTTTTGCTGCACGTGAGGCGTTGGAGCTTTGAAACCCCAGACCAGCTCTTTTCTGTGAAAACCACACCAGCACATCCACAAATCTCACTCTTTACAGCTTGTCGCTCACATTTAACCTGCTTTAGAGCAGAGGTTTCCCTGGGCAGCTGCAGATGAAATATGCTTCATCTGTGACTGTTTTCACAAGCACGAGGCACCCCCTCTGCCAGGGCTGCCAGGGACACCCAGGCTGCTGCTTTACTGCTTTGCCAAGCAGAGTCTGTCCCTCTGGGTGCAGCAGGGCAGAAGCTCAGCTCAAAGGTTAATTTTTAACTTGCCTGTTGCTCCACGGTGTAAGGGAAGCTGCCAGGGAGGTGTTGCTGTTGACTGGAGCACCCTGTCCCCCCACACACACAAACACAGCCGGGTGAGGGCTGGCCCAGCTCGGCTTTGGACTCTGCTCCTGCCCTGTGTGCTGATTTCACCAGACACTGAAGGTCACGGTACTGGCTGTTCAGACACTGGGAACATCCTCCTCTCCTCCTGAACGCTCTGGTCGTGCTGAGCCGGGCTGCTGACTCCTTCCAACCCCATCTTTTCATGGATTTTGGAGAGATGGGGATGGGTGTCTGATGAGGGGACAGAGGTGGGATCTCTGTGTGGTCTGCTGTCACTGACACCCCCTTTGCTCTGGGCTTTTCTTTCTTTTTGGGTTGCTCCCCACCTTTCCCAGTCTAAGCCAGATCTTCTGCCAAAAGTCTTCTCCTTAGTTTCTGTCCTGCCTTTCCGTGGCTTCTCCCCAGCCAGCAGTGGTAGTGGGGAACCACCAGCACCCTCCCAGCAGGGCTGCTAAGCAGGGCGTCAGACAAGCTGGATAAAATTAGCTCTTCAGATGCATGTTCCTCAGGATGCTGGGACAGGGGACACCCAGTACAGCCAGCTTGACTCATGGAGAAGAATTAATGGAAACGCCCGGCTCCTGGAGGGAGGAAATTCCTTGAACAGCCTTTTCCTCTGTTTGTTGTGCGGGAGGATGACAATGGCAGGGCCGGCTCTGCGGCACCGGGAGCTCAGGAAGGGCCGGCACCGCCGGGTGACAGCACGGCCGGGTGACAGCACAGCCCGGGGACAGCACGGCCGGGTGACAGCACCACCCGGGGACCTGCCCTCCCACCCCTCCCTGCACGGGCAGAGAGCGGCGGCACAGCCAGGGCATCCTTACCGGCACTGCCCTCCGTGCCACGAACACCGGGGATGGGTCCAGCTGCTCTGAGCCAGCCGGGTGCAGCCCTGGAGATAAGCAGAGCAGCAGCACTGTGCGTGCAAGGGTGCTGGGGTGGTTGGGTGTTTGTACCTCAAACTGTCTTTGGCCCGTGTGCCGTGAGAATTCGTGTTCCGTGAAAACTGCAGTTTTTGTTGAGCCCACTGTCAGGCATGTTCCTGGAGCACAAACCTGCCAAAGCAGGCTACAGCCAAGGAAAAGTGCCTTTTCTCACTGTAAATATCCAATAATCACATAACTTCTTAGAAAGTGGCCTTTATTTACCAGGGATACCACTCGGGCTGATGATTTCAATGTGATGAGACAAGAAGGGCTATAAAATCCCCAAGCCAGCGGATGTTATGAATCATGCCATGCAAATCTTGTGAACAGGACTGTCTGGGCAACCCTAGGACGTGCCGGCAGCAACCAGTTCAGTGGGTGTTGATTTCAGTCTGCCACAAGCATGGCTTCTGCCAGATTTGCTTCCTTCTTTCAAAGAAGAGCTGCTGGCAAATGATAACCCAGGCTGCCCAGGTCATTGCTTTGGTTTTGGGGGCCCAGAGAGAGACAAGGCTCTGCTAAATCCAGCACTGAGCCTGGCACGGGGGGTGCATTGTGGGCACCTCAGTGGCCCAGGGGAGCAGGAAACAAAGCCCCAGCAGCAGGGCCAGGGAAGAGCAGGAGGCTGAAGAGCTGATCTGCTCCCTGCAGGCTGTTCTCAGAGCATCCTCAGCAGCAGGCTGCTCGGGTCCTGGCAGGTAACATGCCCCAGAGGCGGGTGGGCTCAGGGGCTCCTTACCCCAGTTTTGAGGTTTGTCACCAGACGCTGCTCTGGGAGGAGCTGTGGCATCCCCAGGGCTCAGAGTGGCTGGGTGTGAGCAGGCACTGAGTGGCCCTGTTTGGCCTTTTTTGGGAACAGCCACTGTTTGAGGCAGTGTTTGTGGCTGGGGATGGCTTGTGGGGATGTGTCACCAACGGTGCAGCAGCTGCAGAGAGTGTGGAACACTGCTCTGCTGGGATGCTGGAAAACTGGCAACTCCTCTGCAGCAAACCTGCCCTGAGACAGATTTTTCTGAGCAAGGACAGTTCTGAATAGCCTTTGGAAGCTCCTTCAAACAGGTTCATCCCAAAACGGTTTACACTCTGCTCTTCCTGGGAGGGGAAATCACCGAGCATCCCGCTCCAGTTATAAATAATTATAATTGCCCATTCTATTAGGTGACTTAAAAGATTATTTCCAGTCTCCCTGACTTATTGGCAATTTGGAGTTCTTACTGTAGGCAAAAAAAACCCTGTAGCTGGGCTATCATTCTTCCAAGCTGCTTTATCTTTGTTGCTCTAAGCAGAGTCATGGGAATGTTTTTATCTAAAGCATCAGGTTATTAGAGGACAGACTTATAAATAACCAGTCTTTGCTATTTTTAAGTACTTTCAGCATCATCTATCATGATAGTACAGCAAAACCTGCAGAAAAACAGTCCAGTTCTGCTGCCAAAGCTTTGTAACTTACTGCTGTTTCTTTGGGTGATGAGGAGCCAAGCCCAGGTTCCTTCTCTGCTCTGCAGAAATGCCAGAGGCTGGCGAGCTGTGCTGCCCACCCTGGTCCCAAACCATCATTTTCTACACCTTTCTTTCCTCAGAGCATGTTATTCTGGTATTACAGAGGGGAAACTGACACTGGAGTTGGTTAGCAACAAATTTGGTGAGACCTTTCTGGGGGGAAAAAAAAACCCCAAACCCAAAAAAACCATGGTTGCCATAGCAACTGTGGGCCAACCTGGTGCTGCCAGGTGGGATGGGGGAGCCAGAGGCTGCTCCACATCCTGAGAATGGGCTGCCAAAGCCATGTCTGGGGAATGAGGGAGAGGTGCACATAGTCTGCTCCTAAACCAGGTCCCTGTGAAATGACAAAAAAAGTCTAACCCCAACACTCCAGGAGAACTGAGCATTTCAGACAAGATAATTTAGATTTACTTCATAATTTATTAGTTTTCACATCACTGTATGCAATAAATTATATCCAATATAATAACAACATTGTCATAAAATTTTGCCATGAAGCAAGTACTCATCTAATAGTGACTGTAACCTACACAGAGAAGAACTGCAGTTATTATATTTAGATTTTTAGTGTTAGTGGTAAGTGAACATAATATTAGGGAACTTCACAGTAAATTCAGGGTAATCTGTCATTATTATTGCTTCTGTGCAAACGACTTTTCCTGCACACATACAGCTCGGCAAGGAAAGGCACAGCTGTGCAGAGTGTCTCTGGAGCAAACGCATTCCCGGGTGGCTGAGCTCACTGCACCGCTGCTGCCTTTGGGTGCATTTAGCAGATGCAAAGTGACCCTGAGCAGCAGCTGAGCGGTCTGCAGAGCCCCCCACCAGCCACAGCCCCACCTCTGCACGGGCTCAGGCTTTAGGGAAACGAGGCTGAAGAGGCAAAGCACCCAGGCCAAGTCTGTGAGCACCAAGGAGGTCCCGAGTCACACCCGGGCGTGTGGGCTCCCCTGCAGCTCGGAGGAGCTCTGCCTCGGGCTGGGAGCTGCTTTCTTTCTGCCAGCCTCTGGCCACCAGGCTGGCCACAAATGTGTGCCACGGGCACCACTGCAGCTCGGAGGAGCTCTGCCTCGGGCTGGGAGCTGCTTTCTTTCTGCCAGCCTCTGGCCACCAGGCTGGCCACAATGGTGTGCCATGGGCACTGATGCTGCTGTCCACACGGATGTGCCATGGGCACTGATGCTGCTGGGCACACCAGTGCTGTCATGGGCATACGGATGTGCCACGGGCACTGATCCTGCTGTCCACATGGATGTGCCATGGGCACTGGTGCTGCTGGTCACACCAGTGTTGCTGGGCACACCAGTGCTGGGCACACCAGTGCTGGGCACACCAGTGCTGGGCACACCAGTGCTGGGCACACCAGTGCTGGGCACACCAGTGCTGGGCACACCAGTGCTGGGCACACCAGTGCTGGGCACACCAGTGCTGGGCACACCAGTGCTGGGCACACCAGTGCTGGGCACACCAGTGCTGGGCACACCAGTGCTGGGCACACCAGTGCTGGGCACACCAGTGCTGGGCACACCAGTGCTGGGCACACCAGTGCTGGGCACACCAGTGCTGGGCACACCAGTGCTGGGCACACCAGTGCTGGGCACACCAGTGCTGGGCACACCAGGCTGCCGTGGGCACCGCCTGCTGCCCGCAGCGATGCCGCCGTGGCTCGTGCTTTGCGGCGGGGCCAAAGCCCCCTGCTTGGGCTGTCAGGTCCCCAGGCCCACGGGGCAGCAGAGCATGCCGAGTGTGGCAGGAGGTCTCAAACAGCCCCGCCACAAAACGTTCTCCATTTCTGCTGCCTCCGCCAGCTCAGCGAACTTTAAGGGAGTATTTCCGAAACGTCAGGAACTGCAGCAGTTTGTCTTTTCTCCTCTGCTTTAGCGCCATCAGCGCTCTCGTTTTTTCCTCCATGTCCTGGTCGGTGGCGAGGATTATCTTGGCTCTCTCCTCCGCCTTCTTGTCCCCGGAGTTTTTGAAGAGTTTCTGCAGGGACGCCTCGTTGATGCTCTCGAAGATGTTGGCCGCGGCTTTCTTGCGCAGCGCCGTGTCGAAGCGGTAGCCGTGGACCGAGGGGCTCACTCGCAGGGATGTGGACATGGCTGCGCTGCTGGAGCCTGTCTTTGCTTTCATCGACGTGGGCTCTGCCGGCTCTGCCCCGGGCTCCAGGCGGAGGAAGGCGTGCTGTGCCGGCTCCAGGGCTGGTATTTAAAGGCAGGCTGGAGGAAAAGCTGGAGGGCTCCGGTTACAGCGCTGAGATCACGATGATGTCAACACCCGACAGTCGCAGGCAAGTTTAACATTTGAGTTGCCAACTTTCCTGTCGTGCGGACGAGATGAAAAGTCCTCACTGCTTCATCAAAGGAAATGTTGGGGTTTTTTTGACCCACCACAGAACAGGCTTCAACCGTGGCTGTGGGACTGAGCCAGCACAGCCCAAACTCCACTCCTGCCCTTGCTGCATGTGAAAAGCACTCCGTGCACAAAGAATCATACCATAAACAAGTAAAGCTCCAGGTGAGAACTGTTGCAATGCTAGCAAGAGGCTGGAGCCTGTGCAAACAGCCAAGAACTTGGCTCTGTCTCCATTGCCAACACTGCAAACCTGCTCCTGTCTGGACATGAGCTCCTTTCTGCTGCTTCCCAGCAGATGCAACTCATCTTTGGTGCACACAGAGCTGCAGTTCCTAACTGAGAAGTGCTGTCCCAAAGGCAGGTGATCACCCTCTGAGATGACTTCCCTGGGTGTTACACCCTCAGCTGCACATGGCAGTGGTCTCAGGGGGAGCAAGAAAACTCAGTTTGCTGCCCTGCTCCTGCCTCCAGTGTCCTTTTGCTTAAATTTCATGCTCATTAGTGCTGGAAAGAAAACTCACCTCTGCTCCATAAGAGTGTGTGCTCTCTATACCACCCTTGGTCAATGACAAGCCCTTGGGCTGGGAGGACTCTCTCTTAGTCACACAGGTGAGACTGTGAGGAGCAGGAGCTGGACTCAGTGACCCTTTGGGTCCCTTCTCTCTCTCGAGGCACTGTGGACAGGGCACAGAGGGGGCTGGCTCTGACCACCAGGGCTCCTGCTGGCCTTCCACACCTGGAGTGTACTGAGCACAGTCAATACTGCCCAGAATAGCTGTGGGTTCAAAAGTCACTTAAGGCCAGGAGCCAGAGATAAGTGTATTTTGGTTAATGTTTTAAAGCAGCCGGATGCTGCAGAGGCTCTGTTTGGAAAACCAGAAGCTTGTTTACTGTTGCTGCTGACCCTGTTACTCATCCCTGCTGAAAGGCTCTAGGAGCAGCCTCTGTTTCCATCCCACTCAGACCAGGGGTTTCCCTCACTTACCAGAGAAATTACCTCTGACCACACTGAAGAACAGATCCAAGGAAACATCACCCAGATGCTTTTTATTCCACATTCCCTTTAAAACTTCGATTCCTTTGGATAGAGGGAGGGGATTTTCCTGAGCCATACACACCTCTCTAGCAGTCAGTGGGAGCACTGAAGAGGTGATCCACCTGAGGCCCATGTGTAGATGCTTGTGCTGGCTCAGATTGGAGAAGGGGATTACCTGTGAGTTCTTGGTCACCAGGTGAACTGTGAGCAGGGCAGGTTCCTGCCTGGGCCCCAGAAGGACTGGCAAGCCCAGCTCCATCCGGGCTCAGATCAACTTCCAGCTGGCCAGGACTTGCCAGGCTTCTATCCTTAGGAGAAGGAGTGGCCTCATTTCAGTGTCTGGCCTCTTTCCTACCTGGGACTTGGGACTCACCCACTGCTGCTGCTGGGCACATCCTGAAACAGCCCTGAACCCTGCAGTGCCCATATCCTGCCAGGACACGGGTTTCCCCAGTGCTGCCAGGACTTTGCTCTGGCATGAGCTCTCTCTGCACGTGCCATGGCTTCCTGTGGCTCTGTCACCGTGTGAGTTACTTTTTACAAGTTTTTCACAATTTCTTTTGTATGTGCTGGATGTTCTGTGCAAAAAGCAGCTTTGAAAAATCCCTGGGATTCTTCTTCCACCGGCCAGACGTGCAGCCTCTCACCTTGCCATGGTCTTGCCAAACTGGTGAGACCAATTCATCAGCTGCTTGTTCAGCATTTGCAGGGCTGATAGATCCAGCCTGAAAATAGGACAGTTTTGGTGTGGCTGGATCTCTGCCAGGGAAAGATCTCATGGTTTATAAACTCTGCTAACATGAAATGTGATGGGGGAGCAGAAGGAAGCAGGGCCACATGTGCTGCCCAACCCTTCCTGCTCAGAGCTGCCCGAGCACTGGAGGGGGTAAACCTGCCCAAAACACGTGCCCGGATGAAATGCTCAAAGTGCTTTGCTTCACAGGACAGATAACGCCGTGTCAGGGTATTTGGGGCAAAATTCAGTGCCAGAAGATCAGCCAAGATCTTGTGGGCTGAAGAAAACAAACCCTTTTTAGCGCCCTGGTCTAAAACAAGAGCTGAGGCAGGCTCACGTGCGCCGTGTTTTCACCACTCCCACTGCACATGGAATCACTCTGCAGGTATTTGCAGAGATGTGGCTGACAGCATAAATTAGCAATATCTGCGGAAGATACAAGCTCAGAAAAGTATCTGCCATGGAAACCGAGACTAAAGCTGATGCTTTAGGAGTAAGACATCAGAAAGCTGCCAAGATCAAGCACGCGTTCCTTGTGAGCTCATCTCGCACAGAGCACTAACAAATGTCTTTGCCCCTTCAAGCTTCTCTGCCCACTTTGTATAAATTTAGTTGTGCTTGGCTCTGACAGAGCGATGAAGCATGCCTCGTCTGTTTTTTTCCAGTAATTTTTGTTTATACGGGTGTTTTAATACTGCTTTCCCAGTAGTGCCTAGGAGGAATTATTCATGTGTTGGATTGGAGAGCAACTTCAGAGACGATGTGATTTCTATCATCGTTCTCCTGCTATTATTGTGTAATTGCTTTGTGAGACGCAAACGCTCCATTTCACCCGTTAATGGGAGGATTAATTCCCATCCCCACCGTCTGCAGAGAGGCACAGCCACCTCTCTAATTGTGCTCTGCTTCTCCTGGCGTGCCGGGCTCGGGGTGCTCGGGGTGGGAGCGGTTCTGCTGCCAGGAAAGCCCCAGGGCAGGAGCTGGAGGGAGGCTGGCACTGCCCCGGGTGCAGGGGCAGCCAGTGCCTGCGCCACAAACTCCTGCAGAGAACTGGCTTTGCCTTCGTGTCGCCTCCAAAACCACTCCAAAGAAGGTAATCCGGGATGCCTGGCAGCTCCCTGGGGCGTGTTTTGCATAGCTTTCCCTCCGCTGGCTGCTGCCAAAACTTGCCGGGTCTGCAGCACCCTTTTGGGGTCGGAGGATGCAGCAGCCCCCGTGGAGCATCAGTGCTGCTCAGACCTTCCCAGCCAGGCGTGGGGCATTCAGGAGCTGAGACTCAGAGTGTCCTGTGATACCTGTGAGATGTAACAGATAGATATGGATGGTATAGATATAAATATAGATATAGATATAGATATAGATAGGTATAGATATAGATAGATAGATACAGATATAGGTAGATATTTGCTTTGTCATCAGGCCATTCAGTCAAAACCTAAGAAGGGGAAATGTCCACGAGCCTCCAGCCATCTCTGCTCTTCCCATCCTTTCCCTGGTTTCCGTGGTCTGGAGCTCTGGCTCCTCACAGCCTCCACAGCTGCCACCAGTCTGCAGCTGGGGAAGCCCAGCCCTTCCCAGGAGCCAGAAATGCCACTGTCTGCTGGGAAAGGCTTCAGAGATGGAAAGGTTTCCGAGATGGAGTGCTCTGCAGACAGCTGTGGCATGGCTCTAAGGTCAAGGAGGAACTGGTTCATTGTGTTGCTCTTGGAATCTGCTCAGACCTTCCCAGCCAGGCGTGGGGCATTCAGGAGCTGAGACTCAGAGTGTCCTGTGATACCTGTGAGATGTAACAGATAGAGATGGATGGTATAGATATAAATATTGATACAGATATAGATAGATATAGGTATAGATATAGATAGATAGATACAGATATAGGTAGATATTTGCTTTGTCGTCAGGCCATTCAGTCAAAACCTAAGAAGGGGAAATGTCCACGAGCCTCCAGCCATCTCTGCTCTTCCCATCCTTTCCCTGGTTTCCGTGGTCTGGAGCTCTGGCTCCTCACAGCCTCCACAGCTGCCACCAGTCTGCAGCTGGGGAAGCCCAGCCCTTCCCAGGAGCCAGAAATGCCACTGTCTGCTGGGAAAGGCTTCAGAGATGGAAAGGTTTCCGAGATGGAGTGCTCTGCAGACAGCTGTGGCATGGCTCTAAGGTCAAGGAGGAACTGGTTCATTGTGTTGCTCTTGGAATCCAAATTCCTGGGAGGTTGTCAGACATCCAGCTTGTGCAAATGGCAGTGCCTGCCCTGGCTCCAACCTGCCTACAGCCTCTCTCCACGGGGACTTGTGTGCCTCTGGGACTCCACCTGAGATTTCTGTTTGTTTGGCTGTTGCTCGGGTTTTTCTGTGGTTGTTGTTTCTTTAATAGAACATCTGGGAACACTTGTCCAAATCTCACGGCAGGACACTTTACGCTTTGCTCACAGAAACCCCAAGAGTTTAACTTGGCCATCTGTGCTCCTCGTGACTCCTCCTGTGGTCCCCATTTCAGAGACACAGGACAGGGCAGGTACTTGCCCCCGGTTCAGAGGTACAGGAAGGAGGGGATGATTGTCCCCAGGTCAGAGGTTCAGGATAAGGGGGATATTTTAAGGGCACTTCTGTTGCAGTTCAGTTGCTGGGAAGCACAGATATGTCTCAGACAATCCTCACACGGGAAAAGCATCCTGGTTTTCAGACAACAGAAGGCATGATGGCACAATTAAGCCAGTTAAATTCCATCAGAAAGTATTTTAATAGGGGGAAAAAATAAGGACTGGCCTAAGTGAGGGGAATGCAGCCCCAGAAATGTGCAGAGCAGCCCTGTCCTGCTGTGGCCCAGGGAATGGCTGGAGCTGGGTAAGCTCTGGCTGAGCCAAGCATTGCTCCATGCAGGGAGACCATATAAGAGTAAAGTCTGTGGTGTTACTGATAATGAATGTCTCCTCATTTCTCATAAATTCTCTGCTAAATGTACGATCACCAAGTTAATAATGCAGCGCAGGGCATAACAGATAGCCAGTTACAGTAAGTAAATCATGTCTGGTAAGAAACAGAAGAGAAACAGAAACTTCTGG